GGAATCTTCGAGAAGACACTGAACAAATACATGTACTTCCACCAAGTGTCCCGTGGCTCGATTGCTACCACAGCTCACACAGAGGTCCGGGTCGATCCCCGGTGCGGGTGGAAACAGGACGTATTTCCTTTAGGCATCTTCTTTCCATGTTCACCTATCAGTCAAATAGGTACCTGGGTGTTAGTCGACTGGTGTGGGTCGCATCCTGGGGACAAAATTGACCTAATATACCCGAAATGCTCTGCATAACAAGGGGCTTTCTATATAGTAGTATGCCACTGATGTTAGCTAGGGGCCTCTATACCTTGTACATGTACTTGTAGAAATAAATAGTAGTAGTACTAAATCAGCCAGGCGTGATAAATATGTGGGCCAGTGAGTCGCCAGCAGTAACAGCCTGGTTGACAAAGCAAACACCAGATAAGCCTCACGCAGGGCCGGGCTCCAGGAGCAGGAAAATTCTCGAAGATTATCCAAGATGTTTGAAGTTTTACGAGACGGCCTGGGGCAGAGTGCATGGTCATGCTGTCAATGGCATCTTGGAAGTTAAATGGAGTTAGGGTGTTTTGAATATGTATATTTCTTATTGTTGACTGCTCTCTAATTGCTTTTAAAGCTGGTGCATAACACGACCAGATAACCCAGGCCTTTTGAGAGTGCTTATGTTCATGATAAGGTTCTGTTTACAAATGAAAAGCAATTATTACTGATCATAATACATTATCCATTTTATTGGCATCTCTAGGAACATGATAAAATATTTTGTTAATGTTCTGACTCTGACCTAAAAGAAATGCACACTTTATGAAATGATTGATGTTTGGGTAACTTTTCTTCTCTTGTGTAATGCAGAGGTCACTGGGAAAGTGTCTCAGTGCCTGCAGTCACTTTAGGGTAAAGATAGAAGCCATCTTGGATATCCAATTTCATGTCACCATGAAAGTACAAAAGGAGACTGACTGCCTTTACCTCAGAAACATGTTGACGATGAAGTTTAGCAATAAATTTTATTAATATACTTAATATTCACATTCATCTACATGTCTTTTAGTATTCATAAATGATTGGAGACCACCATGGCAGCCATCTTGGATGTATAGAATTCAAGCGTGACAGTCAATCACTTGATTAATCTAAGCATCTCGGAGGTTCAACAGCCAAGGACAGTTATGCACCATAAAATTCCAGGTTCATCCATCTTTTCACCCGAATGTTCCAGTGTGGTATCTCCTGGTGCCACTGCTTTACGTTGTGTCAACATCTGATATTAATTTCTGTACTTTGGGGTATTTCGATTCAGTCTAATGTAGTTGTAGGTGGGGCAAGTCGTATTCATCTAATAACTTTTTTGGTTAAATATATTTTAGAAGTTTTTATTAAATATCTTGGATTTCTCCTAATTTCAGTGTTTTAATCTGTTAGATTTTACTTCTTAATGCGTTTCACTCGGTCACTACCTTCACTCTAAAGAAATGTTGGAGTGTATCTATGACTTATTTGAGTGTTCATTTTTTCATGTCTGCCTCGTATCAATATGTTCATTAGCAAAACAGACATTTCAGTAAAAGTCGGAGTAAATGATAAGATGCGGGAAGACATTTGTATGGAGTGGTTCAGGACTATTGACGTGTCTCATTTCCAATTTGTCATGATCAAGCAAAACTGCTCTACATTATATATGCTGCCGTAGCTACCAAACCTGTCAGTTTAACAATTTATTTTTCGTTTCTGGTGTATTATTATTACTACTACGTTCATAAGGGAAGCGCTAAACTCGTAGGGGTCAAACAGCACCCGGGGGAATGAGAGATAATAAGGTTCGATCCGAGAAAGGAGAGGTCAGGTCCATTTCCTTGGATCAAGAGCCCCCGCACTAGCATCAAGGAGTCGTCCTTGAAGGGTAGTTCCTGACGTAGATAAACCAGTTTACGTATTTGTTGTATTTTATGTTCTTGTTAGAATAACCACTAAAACTGTGATATGTACAAATTCTTCGTCATGCGTAAACAGGGAATTTGAATTAGGCTCATCTACTGCCTGAAGGCACTTAACCCCCTGGATTGTTGAACTGATAACATTTTATACCGTAGTGTAGTCACTGTACTGATTATCAGCCACCTGCCGGCAACTCTTGTAGAATTTGTATCTGTGCTGTAGTGTGAGAGAGAGAGAGGGAGATGCTGATTAATTATTCTTAGAACTTAATAAGTTTTAAACAAAATACAAAGACAGAATGAACACTTAAGACATTGTTTAACTTGGGATATAAGTATATAAAGAGTACATGATAAACAATAAAAATGCGAATGGTGCTATTGTACACATGCTAGAACAAATATACACTGCACTCGAGAAAAAAGTCCCATTGGGGATCTTCATTGATTTACGTAAAGCTTTTGATACAGTTGACCATGATTTGCTGCACATAGTTGAGGGCACTCCCTCAACTACCTAAAGTCATACCTTAGCCACAGAAGCCAATATGTGTACACAAATGGAGCAAACTCTTCCACACAGCCAATTACAGTTGGTGTCCCACAGGGAAGTGTCCTTGGCCCTCTTCTCTTTCTCATTTACATAAACGACCTACCAAATGCATCACAACTACTCAAACCCACACTATTTGCAGATGACACTACATACGTCTTCTCTCACCCAAGCCCAGTCATACTAGCCAATACTGTAAATACCGAATTACAGAAAATGTCTACCTGGATGATTAACAAACTTACTCTTAATATTGACAAAACCTACTACATTCAGTTTGGGAACAGAGCTACAGATGTTCCTCTTAATATAATGATAAACGGATCACCTATCACAAAGCTCACAGAGGGAAAATTCTTAGGAATCCACCTTGATAATAGACTCAAATTTCAAACACAAGTACAACCAGTTTCCAAGAAAATCTCGAAGACCATAGGCATACTATCGAAGATACGGTACTATGTTCCACAATCAGCCCTCCTGGTCCTATATCACTCACTCATTTACCCCTATCTCACCTATGGAATTTATGCATGGGGCTCAATAACAATAAATCATCTCGGACCATTAATTACCAACAAAAGGCTGCAGTCAGAATGATAAATTCCCACTCCAGGCAGCATACTCCACCAGTATTCAAAACTCTAAACTTACTCACCGTACAAAACATCCATACTTATTATTGTGCCTACGACATACATAGAACACTTAACTCTGCTATAAACCCTCCCCTCAAACTTCTCCTTACCGACCTCAACAGAACACATGACCATAACACAAGGCACAGATCACTTTGATGTTTCCCGTGTCCATCTCACACTGTAAAAACTCAATGCACATAAAAGGCCCAAAAATCTGGAATTCATTACCTGTGGATATAAAAGAAATACTGTTTATCAGTTCAACACTATTCTTAAAAACCACTTACTCAACCACATCTAAATAAATACTGAATAACTGTATCTCATAAATTTATAACCTGTGACCCTATCAAACTGTTTTTTAATTACATTACCTAATAGAATACTCCATTCTCTTGAATGCACAGTAACTCGTCTAATGACCATATGACCTGTTTCTGCACTACAGATCATTGATTTTACTCGATTTGATTGGATTATATTATACATTGTTATGCTACAAATTTGTACAACTTTAGTGCTTCTTATTTGAAATACTCATTTGTACTTCATGCTGTAATATGTGTACTGTAATTTTTACCACTGAATATATCATTGCTTAGTTAATCTTAAGTTCATTTTAAGCCTTCCCATAATGCTCTGCATACAAGGGGCTTTTGGCATGTACACCCAATCACTATATTTCTTTGTACAACTATGTATCATGTCCAAATAAAAAAAATGAATAAATAAATATATAGGGCAGGGCAGAGGTTCTTAACGTTTTTACGATTACAGACCCCATCAGTGGATTGCTCGGTATGTCCCCATACCACCTTCGCCAGACTGTCGAAATCATCCTCACCACCAGTCCTATTAGCTACCAGCTGTCCTGTTCATAGGCATCTATACGGATAGTTAGGAGCAGGACAACTGAAAGAAAATCGTGAGGATTTTATAATTGTTCATAGAAAATCGGCAAATTGTGGATTCAGAGGAGTCCCATACCCCCATTATTTAGTTTCCACACCCTAAAGGGTATGGTTACATCCTGTTAAGAACCCCTGATAAAGCGGAAGTGAGGACCGTAGGAGAGGTTCGAGATTTTGTCTAGCAAGATGGACTTTGCATGCTGAAAATTACTTTACACCCATGTGTGTGTGTGAGATGGTGTGTCCGAAGAATAAAGTTAATAGTAATGGCTTCTGCTTTGTCTTTGCAATGGCTGTTGTAATACAGCTGTGTTTACGGTTAATCTTCATCACAAGTAGTGATGAAAAATATTCTTTCTTTCCCGGAGTCTCTTCTCTAATTCCTTGGCTGTGTACACAGTGTCCTTGGAAACAAAAGGGTCAAAACAGCTGAAAATTTCCTTGGAATTGTATCATGCTGTTTGGGGTGTAAAATGAGTGCAATCTGCTCGATCACTTTCCTTCAAACAGCTGCTTCAGCAGTGTTGAGGCAACACAGTTGAGCATAAACCTCTTATGAGCATTGGCACTGGTGACTATATTAGGAATGAGTTACGTTGTGCTCGTGTCCACGAGGCCACGGAGACTACTTCCTATTATTCTGATAACAGTGGAGTTGGGCCTGAGTAGATCTGGGAAAGACGTGTTTTAAAATAATACCTGCTACATATTTATTAGGTGTTTTGTCCATGCCTTTCCCTTCCTTTTCTTTCGCTCTGAGGAGAGTAACCTAATCGAAAATGGTTTTTCAATTTTTTTTAGACATCACTTTTGACACTTCCAAGAAATGATGACTAGATGTCCTAATTTCTTTAAAAAAATGCTTTCTAAGATTGCGTACAAAACTAACGAATTTATTACTTATTCATCTCGATATTTACACAGTATTATGCAACTCTAATATAATGACCCTTATTTGCAGGTCGCTGTATGACAACCAGATCATGTCTTTCGCTAATGGTACCTTCAGCCCACTCATCAACATCCAAACCATGTAAGTTAATTTTAATATTGGTTGTTTCACTCTCGTAGGTTACTGTAATTATTAATTAAAATGATGGGGAAGCGCTAAACTAGTGGGATTATACAGCGCTTGTGGGGGGGGGGGTGAGGGAGGGAGGGAGGGAAGGAAGGTATACAGGCTTAATTCAGGGAACCGGAGCACAGATCCAATTCCTTAGATCAAGAGCCCCTCACCAGCGTCAAGGAACTTATCTTGAGAGGTAAGTTACTTTAAGATCTAAAGATTGTCGATATGTAAGAGAAACACTTAGTTTAACAGCTGATGCTTGATAAACTGGTCCATATAATTCAACTCTCTCTTTCATACATACACACAAGATATATACCCCGAGAGGTGTTATATCTCGGTGTACATTCAAATTTTGCTTTAATTTCTATTTTAGGGATTAAAGTGTTCTTGACTGGCCGGGAACAATTTATACACAACCTTAATGACCTTGTTTTAATAAATAGGCTTTAAACCCACTTAACCAGTTATTCCATTATTGTATTTATTGCACCCCCTTCTTTCCATAAGGGAGATTATTTCAGTAAGCAAATTTGGAACTAATTCTCCTAGCATTACCCAGGTAGATAGGTGGGGGTTGTTTAGGGTAGTTATGGACCACAACGACCATACGAGTCGTATTGATCCCTACCTCCTTAAGTCCCGGTGAGAAATATTGCCTAGATCTGGGCAAATAAAAAGAAGGAACAGTCATTTGCAAATAAGAAAAGTAGGCTGTAGTGCCGTATAGGTAAAACTGGTCAATTAGCAAGAACTCGTTTAAAATTAAGTACTTTCTAAAAAAATTTCTTGTAAGTTTAAAGATATTTTTTCATTTATGTTAATGTAAAAATTAATAACTTTGTACCAAAATAATCTTAGAAAACCTACCTAACCTTATTATAACAAGCGCAATTTATTTTAGCCTAATCCAACTAAATATACTTTAGTTTACAATAATTAATAAACAAACACAATGAAATATATTTTTTTCGTTATGTTCAGAATTAATTTTTGTGAAATTATTGCACACAAATTTTCTCTTGCCTTATTCGGCAAGAAGAGCGTTGCTATTTAAGCCAGAATGGCAAGTTTTACCGATTCGCCACGACATTATATATATATTATAAATATTATATATATATAATATATATATATATATATATATATATATATATATATATATATATATATATATATATATATATATATATATAAAGACAACCCACGGGGGGTGGAAATCTTTAGCTCAAGTACTTTCATACTTCAGTGCATCATCAGGAGCTGTAAAATGTTGCGAAGGTAGCAACAGCAGAAATGAGAGGAAGTTTTCTCAGAGGATAGTAGCGTGACTCTCGCCAGTGTCTCTCAGAGACGCTGGTGGGACTGAGAAATGTGAAAGTACTTGAGCTAAAGATTTCCACTCCCTGTCTTGCATTGTTAAGATCGTCTGTCTGCGATTGTTTGCATGTGTGTGTACCTCGGTGGGAGACGGCCGACTTATTGAAAAATAAATTATATATATTGATAAATGGAAAAATAGATGGTGCAGAGGTAGAACAAGAATGGGGAGTCGTATAGACATAGGCAGTACAGTGCAGGTGGTAAAGAAGTGCACATATAGCATCATAACACAGGTGTACCAGAAATACAAATGCAGCACAATTCAAGTTGAGGAAAAATACAGGTGCAGATCACAAGAGGCAGGGTAGACGGTAATAGGAAATAGTGCTTGTGCTTGATTTGGTGCTGTTTCTGAAGATGGTGCTGGTTCAGTTCTAGAAATATAAAATATGTTTAGCCGGTACTGTTGCGGGTTCTAGTGCTGGTACAGATCTAGTAATTGCATCGAGTAGGAACTCTCTCCCTACAAATCGCAGTCAACAGAAAGCCAAAATGTGTCAATTCTGTGCTTGAAGTGGGAGGGGCGACTGATGGCGTCAAAAGCCTTGGATTGGGTGGGGGGAGAGAATATGCCGCCAGTGGCAGGGTACCTGTATGGCTGTCTCCCTTCCCTTCTTGGCTTTGAACTCCATCCGATCCTTTGAGGGGTCCCTGTCTTTTGGCGTGGTAGTCCTCCCGGGCACCTGATGCGGCCCTGACGTTGCTCATCTCTAGTGTCTCATGATACGGTGAGACTTTTTCTTTCTTGTTCCCGGTTCCATTCTGCTCGATTGCTTCTCCGTAAATCCCTTTGCCGATTGGGCGTGACTCTCCTGTCGTTACCCCTTCTAGATGATATAATTTTATTTCTACAAGTACATGTACAAGGTATACAGGCCTAGTTGACATCAGTGACCATACTACTATATAGAAAGCCGCTTGTTATACAGAGCATTTCGGGCAAATTAGATAAATTTTGTCACAGGATGCGACCCACACCAGACGACTAAGACCCAAGTACCCATTTTACTGATGGGTGAACAGGGAAACACGCCCAATGTTTCCACATTTGCCAAGAATCTAACCACGTACACTCAGCGTGTGAAGCGAGAGCTTTGCTTACCAGGCCATGGGCCACCCTTAATGGGGATGACTAGGATCTCCCTGTCCGTTGTGAGATTCTGTCCCTTACCTACGTCTTCCACAAAGCTGCAGGACGAGTCGGACAGCTTTAGTGGTGGCCTTTACTCCTTGGGTACATCTCTAATCGTGGTCCTCTAGATTCTTAATTCATCTCCTGTTGGGGCCACCACTCCTACAGTCATCCCTTACTGTGCTGCCAGAACGGTTAGTTCATTGTGAACCCCATGTTCATGCTGTGAGCGGTAGCGCGAAAAAAACAGGATTACAGAGGTCACAGAAGTTGACACTTGAATGTGTGCAGAAAGCCCATGGTTATGCAGAGCATTTCTGTTAATCCTAACTTGAGACTACAGGGGCAATAAATATTACATGTATGCTTTTAAGGACATTAGGTGTATACAGATAATATTAGACATATAGTGAATGTCTGTGTAAGTAGATTAAATATATTTTTGTACATGATTATAAGGAAAAATATTTGGGTTGCAATCTATTCAATAAAATCAATTCATTTGTCTAATTGATGGAAAATTTGGATCTTGTCTCAAGATTTCAGATATCTTATTAACAATGAGATATTTTCAAAGCCATATCCTGTAAGGTTTGCATGGAGGTATCTCTGCAGGGTTGGATGTTCGGATACTCCAAAGATATAATGGCCCTGTCTCTGACAACACACTTTGCATTTATGTCATTGACATCTCCATATAAACGACATTCGTATCTCAAGCAATTTAGAGTAAATAATGAGGATAAAGAGTAATACATAGATGTACGATGATGGCTCTCTTAAATGTGAGAATGGAGGGACTGTTGAGTGCTATTATCGTAAACCAGACTGCTGGTACTATAATACGGAGGTGTAATAGAATTAATAACTGGACTTCCGCCATACATAGGGAACTATTTGCCATACTTGTTGCTCTTAAGCTTGTGGATACTGTGATGTCTGAGTTTAATTGTAACTGACTCTCGTGATTGAGGACACCCAAATCCCCGGAAGCAAGAACAAGAGTGGCAACAAGAGCAAGAGTGGCAACAAGAGCAAGAGTGGCAACAAGAGCAAGAGTGGCAACAAGAGCAAGAGTGGCAACAAGAGCAAGAGTGGCAACAAGAGCAAGAGTGGCAACAAGAGCAAGAGTGGCAACAAGAGCAAGAGTGGCAACAAGAGCAAGAGTGGCAACAAGAGCAAGAGTGGCAACAAGAGCAAGAGTGGCAACAAGAGCAAGAGTGGCAACAAGAGCAAGAGTGGCAACAAGAGCAAGAGTGGCAACAAGAGCAAGAGTGGCAACAAGAGCAAGAAAGAGCAAGATGAAGAAGAACAAGAGCAAGATGCAACAACAAAGGAAAAGAGCAAGAGTGGAACAAGAGCAAGAGGCAACAAGAGCAATGAAGAACAGCAAAAGAACAGAGCAAGAACAAGAACGAACAAAGAACGAGAACAATAGCAGAGCAGAACAGAGCAAGCAGCAGCAACAAGAAACAGCATCAAGAAGAGAGAAGACTGGCAGCAGCGCGAAGACATAACCAAGTTTGGGATGAGGAGGAGGTGTCCACAGCAGCTAGGCGCTCTTGGGACAGACTGGAGTAGCAGGCTCAGTTACAAGGGCCTTGTGGTGGTTGGAGGTCTTCACTCTTGAGAAGCTGGCAGTAGGTTAGGTCGCAGGACAGGGCAGGCAGGCAGGTAGGAGCATCAGAGGGCAGCTCACCGGTGGTGTTATTTGACTTGATTAAGGAGGCAGGTTGGCGGAGGAGTCATTTTCAAATTTCTTGAAGCTGCTACTCGAGAGGTAAAGTTATTTTTGTTTCCAAAGGTGAAACGTAGATGCTTTTGAGGAATTCAAGAACTTGGGTGAGTGTAAAGTGAAAAGGTGGTTCGCAGGCATACTTGACTGTTCCAGCACGGAGACTTGTAGTTTAGTGCAGGTCATGGTGTCAACATTTGATGGTAAGTTTTTCCCATGAGGGTGTACTGGAATCGCCAGAATCTTCTTAAGTGGATTCAGTAGGCGAGTCTACAATGGTGGCCCCAGATATCTTGTTGCTGGGTGATTTCAACTAAATGCACCTAAAATGGAGGAATGTGACAAATAATGTCTTAGCAGAGGTAACACCAGGAGGCAGCTCGGATGAAAATTTCTCTCTCTCTCAATCTCAATCTCTCTCTCTCTCTCTCTCTCTCTGAATCTCTCTCTCTCTCTCTCTGAATCTCTCTCAATCTCTCTCTCAATCTCTCTCTCAATCTCTCTCTCAATCTCTCTCTCTCTCTCTCTCTCTCTCTCTCTCTCTCTCTCTCTCTCTCTCTCTCTCTCTCTCTCTCTCTCTCTCTCTCTCTCTCTCTCCTCTCTCTCTCTCTCTGCACAGGGTTTGACAAGGTTAGGTTAAAGATCCCTAGCTTTATTGACAAGCTATTTACAGGTTAAGGATTCCTAACTTTATTGGCAAGCTAAGAGCTGTTA